TACCCTGTGAACATTTCCAACAAACATTTGTTATACCAGTATACATTTTTGATAACTAATCAGGAGTTAAATAACAGCAGTACATCATTTTATAAAAAATTTCTTTTAAATTATAATTCAACGTAAATTTCAAACCTTTGTTCCACATGTGCATTCTGAATTAATAAAGTCTCCTTCAACTTGAGCTTGACTTTAATGATTTCATAGACACATCCATGTTGTTTTCTTGGCAACAGTGTGAAAATAGTTTGCCGTTGTAGTCTTCTGGGGCATTTCCCTCCCTCCCCCTTACTTTGCTATCTAGTCTGAGTCCTGAGCTTTCCTGATAGTTTCCCATCTAAGCGGTAACCCTACTTTGATTTTCAAGATCAGCCAAAGTTGGCAAGATGCTGTTATCTAGCAGAGCTTTGTAACTTTATTTTGTAGAAAATAGACGCATGCCTTATATCACACCAGGTGGCAGCACCTAGTCAATGTTGTCTGATCTTGAGAAATAAAAGCAGGGAGCTGACTTAAAGAGATTGATCTTTGCACATATTATAAAGCAATTATGATTTTTAAAAATTGTTACCAAATTGAATAATGGTTTATACTTTTTATTAATATTAAAGAAGACACATACTTGTGAAATCATTATGAAATGAACCAGCTCCAGTTTAATCATTAATGTTTGGAGGATTTTTTTTTCAAGGTATGCTGTAACATTATTTAGACTTTTAATTGCATTAATAAACACACTGAATATTTCAGCAATATGCACATTCATTTCTGCATTGTTAACTGTAAATGTAACACATTTTAAAAGTCAAATTGACAATTTCAGTGAAGTCAATACTTATAATATGGATGACTGGTATAACAAGCATTTTCCTTCTATTTGTGTTCCTCTTGGTTTATAGTCAGGAAAAGAAGTAAACATTTTCCTGCTATTTTACTTCCCAAATTACAGTGGTGCCTCGGTTCACGAACTTAATTCGTTCCACGATTCTGGTCGCAAACCGAATTGGTCTCGAACCGAATCAAATTTCCCTATAAGGTTCAATGTAAATAAGGTTAATCCATTCTGACCCCTACGAACGTCACCAACCGATTTTGGTCGCCAACCGAATCAAATTTTCCCATAAGGTTCTTAATAAGGTTAATCCATTCTGACCCC